AACAGCAACTGAATGCTAAGTTACCCCAGATAGTCACGAAGTGTGAAAACAACGGCGACCCGACGAGTTTGAAAATCGTGCAGTGTGAACTCGGCATTAGATGTTCAAATAGCTGCAGCACTCCGACTTTGCCACAAGGAAAAGTGCGTACGCCTGCTCAGACCCTGACATGACGGTATAAGTACTTTTCCACGTCAAAGACAGTTCTTATAAATATGAACGTTGCCGTGGATTTTAGCGTACGCACGCTCTAAGATCAAATCTGTGTGTACGCACATTTTATAAATGAGGCCCGTTGAGTATAATAGTAAGGTATAAACACAGGCTTTATGTAATAGATAAATATTGCTCAAGTCCAAAACTTGTACTGGCTTTTCAAAACCAAAATGACAATGCTGAGCATTTAGGAAACAAATTTATTGCACATGATGGATGCTTTTATTTGAATAACTTAAATACTTTTAGGCTTCTACTATTCAACATAGTAAAAGTATATTTTGTCATTTTCAAATGGTCAAAACAACAATAACGAATACAGCAAACTAGACTACTAATAACATGATCTTTCTTCAAACAGATACAGAGAAAAACATGATTAAAACAGCATTCCCACATTTCACAACTTAAATCAAACCAGTAATGTTCACTAGACAGCAGTGAGGATATTTAATCACACTCATCTTTGGCTAGATGGACATGTTTTCCCTTATTCAGGCTACTTACAATTGTCTTCAGTTTTCTCTTTTTACAAAAGAGCCAATTCAAAGACAGCAAAGTCTATGTAAAAATATGACAAACCTTATGAAAGTAATGCAAAGATACATAATAAAACTAGATAACCGATCTCCTCTTATTCGTACTGTTGTTGACCCTCTCATTGGTTCATATAGGCAGACCTTTCCTTCAATACTTTCTCTTTTAGATTCAAAGAGATGTAATACTGCTTAACCCCATCTTAAACTGAAGTCCTTCATTTTCCCCCAAAACAACAATACTGATGTCTGATTACCACATGGTTAATATCACCTAAATGCTGCTTTCTTCTTCTTCTACATCCACTTGCCTGTGTGTCATTTGCATCACAGTCATCATAACAGTGTACAGGTGATCCATTCAGAGCTTGCTGTCAATGAACCAAAGGAACTCAGTCATATCTGCATGCACACCAAGATGAAATGATGGAGAAATGATATTCAGTGACTCGCAAAGCCATTCCCATTCCCATATTGGGTGCTAAAAAATCAAGACAAATCTGTGCAACTCTTATGCATAAACAAATTTAACAGTATAAAATGAGTTGAAGTGATGCATTCATCTTAACATAAAAACCCTACCTTTCTCTAGGTCTGTATAAAGAGCCTTGCTTTTATCATGCTTTGACATGCAACATTTCAGTCCACCAAAGGTTTACTTGTTTCAGAAATAATTCAATTCTCGACACAGCTGGGAACGAATGAAATGACAATTGTGAACTATACTGATAGACAATTATGGATATTTCGATATATCATTTGTCTACTGGAGTTGTGAATGCTCATGTGTTTGTCTCCTGACAATACAAACAGAAGGAAGTGCGTCCCCAATTCCCAGATGTTCATGATTGCCTGCCACAAAGTAATTATGAACCAGACCTAAAATGTGTCTGTATTAACAGCAACAGAATCAGTGGGAAGACTAAATATGGTCTCACTGGACAGAATAGCAACAAGATGATGCGAAAAATTTTTTTTTAAATAAATATGCAAACATGTTATCTTCTGCTACTTCTACCAAATACTGTTTTGTAGACATCACAACCATGTACACTACTACACTGCAAATCATACATTATATGCACCTGAGAAGCTGAAACTAACAGCACAAAACACAGAACAATCTGATAGATAATAGAGTTGATGGGACACATACAGACATACAAAAAGCCAGATAAGCTTTTTGGGAGTTAGGTGAATATGTAAGGCACTAAAGTCTCAAATCTCTTCTCCATTTCATCAAGGTGCCTGGAAAAGTCCTGAGGAGTCTTGTTGACGCAACAGATCTATGGGGAAAGTAGCTACCGTAAACCCTCCTCTTCAGTGGCATCACCTTCCTCATTCAAATGTGTGCTTGCAAATTCATGTCTTTAAATCACTTTTATGAGTGCTAAAGCCCCAAATGACTTGTCTAAAAACAAATCACGTTTCCTGGTACTGCAACACCAGTATGTGCAGGATTTTCCTCACCTTCCAATCGTTCTTTCGGAAACTCGCGCTCTTTCTCTGGACTCTTCTGGGTTTCGAGATGATGGATGGAAACAGGAAGAGGAGTTTACAGAGGTGACCGCATTTCCCTTCTGTCCTTTTCAGACAGTGATGAATCCCCTGTATGCTCAGCCCCAAGATCAGGTGTAGACCCTTATCCCTCCTAGATTGGTTGAAGTTTTCGGGCAGGACTATGGGGAGGGGGTTACATGGCAACAGCAATTTATAGTTTGATGAATGGGCCGAAGTGATGGGGCGCTCTGATCTTGGGTGAGGAGCAGGAGTTGGAGGATAGAGATGGAGAAGTGGAGAACGGAGGAGATGACGAGAGGGCATCTGCACTCAGAGAGAACACTGTGGAGATGGCCACATCCACGATGCCTTGACACAGCTCAGGGTAGAGTTTCCTACAACAGGGAAAACCTCAATATCAATATTAAACTTAAGAAGCAATTGTGGGGGGGGGGGAAGCTTTAGCAACTGCAACCGTAGTCCAAAAATGAATGAATTTGCCAGTCAAATTTGCCAGTTTTTTATCTAAAATGTGCTGCGAATTATGCATTACAATTTTTTTGCACAAAACTCCTTGTGGCGACACATGCAGTATGTGGAATACGTAATGCAACAAGCCACTAGATATGAAAATAAGGGACAAAATCATGATCATTTTCACAAGACCGTGTACTCACTGTGCACAGGCAGGTGCCCCGTTGATCTCAATTAGCCAGACTTTAAAGCTTTCGTCCAGCATGAAGTCGAAGCCGAAGAGCTGGAAGCTCTGGTAGGACAGGTGCTTCGTGCTGATGGCTGGCTCGATGCATGTGAGACAGCTCCTGTTGAGACAAGACGCAGGATTTCAGACGAACACCACAGGTAGTTAGACATCCTCAAATGAAGCATTTTTGTAATGGATCAGTGAGCTCAGTCTTGAAGAACAATGTTATAATTGACCTCTGATCTAAATGTTATGTTCATCTGGTTACTGAAGGTCACATTGCCAGTATATAGTAGGGTGCAAATATCTGAGTGAAAATCTGTTTTATTTATTTATTTTACATTAGTTTTAGTTCAAACAGTAGAGTGTGGTGCTAGAAATGCCAAGGTAATAGGTTCGATTTCCAACTGATTTAAAAAAAAAAATAATTATAATAATTGTGTACCTTGAATGCAATGCAATCTCTTTGAATAAAATCCTCAGTCAAATGCATAAATGTAAACATTTAAAACAGAGAAGTGACAAAATGAGTAGGAAATATTCAAGATTCTGCACTAATTCTTCTTGTGAATTTCATGTCAGCTTGTTTCTTATTTCTCAAAAATTTTCACTGACATTTGTAAGCTGTAATGTAATTTGCAACAGCGTTGAACAAAATATCAACTAACTCAAATAAAATAAGTTTAAGTCAAAGTACTAAAACTGAAAACAAATAATAAAAGCACAGATTTACACAAATTTGAATTTAAATAATATAATAATAAAGGTCGATTCAAAATATTAAGAAATACTATAATAGTATACAATGTAATACAATAATGACACTGATTTGTAAGGGGGAATAATTCAAATGTAAAAAAGTAAAACTTTTGGACCCCACTGTACATCTCTAACACAAAAAATCTTTTTTTTCTACCTATATAACTCAATTTGCAGGCACACATGCAATCAGATTTGAAAACAAGGTGAAGGAGCACCTGATGATATGCTTGATCTGAGGTAAAATAGATGTTTCCATGGCAACGCTGTGTGTGGTCAACAGGTACAGTCTGAACTCATCAAAGAACATCTCGTTGCCCTCCTCAAAGCGGCCGTAGTTCTGCGAATGCTCCTTCTGGATGCAGTGATTGGTCAGGTGACTGGTCATGTCCTGCAGATCCGAGCTGTTGTAGGGCTCAGAAGACGTCCTCAACACTCCCTCACGGTACAAGTAGATATTATACTGATGGTCTACAAGCACCCAACTCCTACAGACAAGACTTTATAAGTGCTTTGACTTCATTAGGATGGGGCATTGCAATTCTATGCTTTTCTGTAATCACATCAAAAACATTCTGCACAAAGGATTATCCGTCTCATCGTACCTTATATCAAATTTACGATGGTCCGGCTCCAACAGCAGTGGTCTTTCCAGATACTTCTGAATGACATGCACTTGGCCTTGATTATCGATGAACTCAAGCAACTGGTTCGCATCATGAGATATCAATATACCGGCACCTGAACAAAGGGAGCAATAATCTCATACTACGAAATCGTGTAGCAAGATTACACTTCTTTAAACTTGCCATTTTAGACCGATGGAGATTTGTACCTTTGGCACCTGCTGATGATTTGGCAATCCACACCGTTCCCTCTCCGCTTTCCTTTCTGGAGTTATATGAAGCTAAGAAGACCTCCCGCTCATCTGTCTTTGGGTTGCTCTTCATGTGGCTGATGCCATTGGTGGCCGGGGCAACTGGGGTGTTGAGGTTGGTTGGGTATATGATGTAAGACTCAGGGAACCAGTTACAAAAGTCCTTTAACTCTGGACTGGTCTTGATAATCCTAAACATCAAACATGCTTATTTAAAGGGGTCATATGATGCGATTTCAAGTTTTCCTTTCTCTTTGGAGTGTTACAAGCTGATTGTGCATAGATAAGATCCCTGAAGTTCACAACTTATGAACTGCAGAGTTTCTAACTCTATGACATGGTATAAAGGAAATAAGTGTGATTTGAAGACAACACTCCATTATGCAAACATTATCACTCATAAGATCATTTTAAAAATCTCATTAAAGTCAACTGAGGTTATACAGTAAATCTGAACATGAATTTCTTTCATCTAATATATCTTTAAATAAACAGCGTACTTGACCAGTGAAGCTTTGCGGCACAGTTTATCGGCTCCTCTGTAATAATTCACCAGCTGCATCAGTCCTGGTTCATGACCTGTAGAGGACATTGTATTTGACATTGAAATATCGAAATATTGAGCAGTGAAGGCAGTGTCCTGCAGCTAAAAATACAATTTTGTAACTCAACAACAATTATAATAAAACAATAAAATAACAATAAGAAATGTTGAGCAGCAAATCAGCATATTAGAATTATTTCTGAAGGATCATGTGACACTGAAGACTGGAGTAATGATGCTGAAAATTCAGCTTTGCATCACAGAAATAATTTTTTTTTTTAAATACTGTATATTAAAACAAGTTATTTTAAATTGTAATAACTTTTCGCAATGTTACTGATTTACTGTATTTTTGATCAAATAAACGCACCCTTGAAAATCCTTAATCTTTTCACAATTTTGACAGTAGTGTGTGTGTGTAGTTTAAGTACACATTCTTTTAAGTTGATGTCAACATAATTACATGTTACTACACAGTTACAGCTACAAAGGAATGCAGTTACACTTTATTTAAAGGTGTCCTTGTTACAGTGTGATTATACATTTAAGTACGGAGTATTATTAATTAACTACAAGTTCTTACATGGTTAGGACTAGGATTACTTGTATGTAATTATACATAATTTATTGTTATTATAAAAGTACATGTAACATGTGTAACAAGGACACCTTAACGTTTTACGAATGCACTATAGAGTTGAATCTTTGTGATCAGCATTGATGTGTCCAGTGTTCAATTATGATCAATTATTAATAGTCGTTTCATCATTCGTTATCATTAATTTAACAGCTTGTACTGTCCAAAGTCTCCAATAAAGCACGATGTGCTGAAAATAAGCAGAGGTTAGTAACTTAGGAGTATTATAACAACTTGCTGAAACTTATAACTTTCAATGCAAACATGTATACAGCACGGGGTTATAAAACATATCATATTATGAGATGGCAATGCATGTTTAATATGGAGCTCTTGTTTAAATCATTTACCCAGACGTCCAAAAGGCAGCCGATTTCTCTCTCCCAACATCAAATTAAACCGAGGATTGTCCTTCTTCAGTCGTTTCCATTTTCCAGTAGAGATGAGGATCTTGGCGGCCTCGGCATACACAGTACTGTTATCATCTCTCAAAACAAACGTGTACATCGGTGAACTCATATTCCTCAGTCTTCTGCTAAAAGCCCAGAGGAGTGATGATGATCACACACTAGCTAGCCGACTAACGTTATCTGTCTCCCAACAAAGTAGACCGAAACCGGACATACATGACTTTCTTGATGCTTCTTAGTTGTTTTTGCACAGAGATCTTTACAGTAAATAGTCGCGCTGTGATCCAGACAGAAAAGCAGGGCCGGGCATCTGTAAGTCACCCGCAGTGAATATTAGGGTGTGACTCTTGGAAGGATTTGCCTTCTGGATTCTCGCAGCTAACAGTCTACGCTAGCTTCCTCTCTTCCATGGTTGTCTATGAACAGCAGATTTGAAAACACAGCCCAGTAATAGGCTAGCGCAGTACAGAATCCAAGAATAGATGTCGAATATATAACTATGCATTTAATTCCTCGCTTCCTCTGTAGTCGTCTAGACAGTAGACAGCAGTTTAAATCCCCAGTTGAAGCCTCTTTATCCCAACACGCTCGTGATGTGACGTACCGCTGGGAGTCAACGCACGCACGCCGCACAGACTTGTGGGTACTGTAGTTTTGTGCCACATAAGGGACGTACATTACAGCCCTTACAGCCTTGCTGATGTTCAACAGCACGATCGATGCTGCTAACGATAAAGACATTGTAGTCTGTTTTAGCTATAAATATTTTTTTTTGGCAATATTGGAACAATTGTCATGATCTTCAGAGCAAAAATTATGTAGGCTGCTAAATTATATAAGGAAAAATTATGTTTCGGTAAATAATAATTATGACATAAAAGTCGAAATTATGATATGAGACTTTTTGTGTTATAAATTCGGCTTTTATGTCATAATTATGACATATGTAATAATTTATACTTTTTATGCCGTATGTCATACATATGATTTTTTTTTTCATATGATACACATTTTTCCTTAATTTTGACATTTTATGTAGGCTAATATTTTTTACTTTTCATAAATATAGCTTTTATGTCATAAATCATTTCATACTTTCTTTTTTTTCATAATTTACGTGGTAAATATGACATATATCTCTTTATCTCTTAAGTCTGTATGATTAATATGGTTATATGATGTCAAAATTGTGATTTAGCAACAGACTGTTTTTCTAATGGGGCGGAAATGTAAATAGAGAACATGGAGAACCGTATCTTTACAATGTTATCATAACGTCTGGTCTGATAAAGTCTCTTTTTTTAAGTGCTATCAATGTCTCTAGAATAAGACTGAAGAAGCAATCAAAATCAAAACTTTTATAATCATACGTTTGTGAGTATCACAGTCAACGTGATTTTCAGAACTGGGCTAAATAAATATGTTAACAGAACTGAAATTGCCATTTATTAATTTACTGGGACATCAGTGTTCAGTGTCATACAAATGACATTAGAGAAATCAGTATAATCAAATGAACATTAAAACGAAAATGTAAAAGAAGTGTTCAATAATCTATAATCTATTTCATCTATCTACGGACCAATTTTATTTTATTTTATTAAAATTAATAAATTTTATTTTATTTTATTAAGAAATGTGAAATAAAAAGAAAAATGTGAACCTGCAGGACTCGCAGTGAGTGTGTTTGTCCAGGCGATGGCGCGCGTGATCTTAGTATGCAGCGACCGGAAGCTGCGTGGATCGGCGCAGATCATGCAGGAGGCGCGAGGTTCGGTCAAAGTTATGGTTGTTTTGTTTCACATCGCTGTATAGACTTTCAGCTATTTCTGATCTTTACAGCATTTACACACAAGAAATACGTTTAACCCAGAGGTAGGTTTCTACTTTCCTCGCCCAAAACGAACACGGGAGTGTGTTTGAAGCTGTATTTGTGATTTGTGTTCCTGCTGTCAGCTCACGTTAAGAGATAAAAGAACGTTGTCCTGTCTTTCTGAATATCCTGCACATATTTCCTACTGGGACAATGTGTTAATACCCGCTGAGACACTATTCGTAAGATCGTAATTTAGTACATTAATATAGTTCATGTGAAAGTGGGTTTTCGTGTATTACTTTACTGTCACTTAACGTTTGTGTGGGCATGCTTAAAATTATTGTTAGTAAAGTAAAATTCAAGCGTTTATACACACATATTTTACAAATTAAAGTAATAAGCCATCAAAACAATGAAAAAGCGCCAAGTCACAGGAATTGTGTACAGACAAATCAATCTAATTTGATCTCTGCTCACTAGTCATTCTTTTAACCTACCGTAATTCATGAGGTGCGTCCAGTGGGATGTTTTTAAACACTGTTGAATAAGTTCACATGTATGGTCTACTCTTGGCTGTTTTTCTTCATTATCAAGCCCAACCCATCCATGATTTTTTTTTTTACATTTATTTATTTTTTTAAAGAATAACAACAGTTTTGCAAAGACTCATATGGATATACAGACATTTTATATTTGTCTACAAACCTAATTTCAAAGTTTTGATAAGTCTTATGATTGAAAGATCTTTAAGATTATGAGAAAAAAAATTAGACAAGCATGTTGAAATATTGACTGGTATTGCACTTTATACTATTTCTCTCTCTCTCTCTCTTTCTCTATAGATGCATACATACATACAGTGCATACATATATATCCAGTGTAACTTACTGGTTACTGTCATTAGATGTAATTTATACAGTATATACTAATAAATGACTGTCTCACTTATCAAGACAGTAGGCCTGGGCAATACAGAATGAAGAATATACAGGCTATATATCAGTTATTTTCTGCCTTTTGATGGCATTTAATATATACCAATCGTGACAGCCATTGTAGCAAAGTCAAAATGTTTCAAAAATAGTTTAATGCAAAAGGTATAATACCATTAAAATGATCAAGACATTTTATCCACACTGTTCATCACATAAATGAACACAGGGAAGAGTGATATTTTCGTTAATATTCATTTATATATATATAAAACATATAAATAACAACTTATATATATATAACATGTTTTTTAATACATAAGTTGTGACAGTTTTTTTTTTTTTTTGTCATAATGAAAATTAATCAGTTTTTGAGTTGATTCACTAAAACAGTTCTCAAAAGTCACACAGGAAACCTAATGGCCACCTAAGTGTGTAAGTTATTATGATATTCACAGTTGCTTAATTTTTATATCACATTTTATACAATTATGAAAATAACATGAATATTTGCTGTCGCTCAGCCCTAGAAGAATTTCCATGCTATTGTTGTGTGGTACTTCTCTTTTTTTAAAACATTATTAATTGATCCTGTGCCCACTTCTTATGCAGACTGGAGCAGGCCAGGCATGAGCAGAGCACACCTGGACGAGTGGCAGAGGAGGTCCTTTGACATTTCGTCTGGCTCCTGTACACCTGAACAGACGGCCGATGCTTACCGGGCACACGTCCTGTCCATTCAGTATGCATGGGCGAGTGCTGAGCTCTCTCCGGCCGGAGCTGGCAGCCTGCTCAGGACCTACTCGGAGCGGTACGCCACAGTCCTGGACTCAGACGACCCACGCACAGGGCTAAACAACTATGCAGAGAGTGCCCTGCACCTGGCCCGCAATCAAAAGAACCATAGCGACAAATGGGAGTCGTCCCTTACGTTTGAAAATGTGTTCAACCTGCCGTGCGTGCAACGGATGATGCAGGCCAGGTCAAAAGAAGGCTCTCTCCTGGTAGATCCGGCAGATGTTAACATCACTGTTGGTGGTGAAGTCAGCAGGGGAGATGAGAAAGGCAGTGCTGTCTCTGGTCCTCCTCCTGGATTAAAACGAGGGCCTCTGGCTCATGGGCCCGCTGCGCCTCCACCTAGAGCTGAGTTGGGAAGGGGGGTCAGTAACCCACTTAGCGGTGCTGTAGAGTGGGCCAGAGGACTTGAAGGAGCCCCTCCTCGTATGTCTCTGGCACGAAATGCTCCAAAAGCTCCAACAGGATCTACGCCTATGTTTGGCCATAACATTTTCAGTTCCACAGGCAATGCTAGTGTGTCTCAGTCTAGTGTGGGTTGCACAAGTGGATCCAATGTGCATAATCAGCCCGTGTTCTTTTCCTCCACAAACCCCTCCAAGAGGAAGAACTTCTACAGCTCAGGAACTGAAAGCAACAGAAGCTCATTCCCGTCACAAGGCGAGCAGGAACCGCGAGGGAGAGGAGAGGAAGGTGTCAGCACTAATTTTAGATCAGCACGAGAGCAGTTCATCGTTGACCAGCAAAAAAAGCATTCCCATCAGGGTCAGCGAGGCTCCGCGGCCAACGTTGCTGCAATCACCAAGAAATGCCTTGGGGCGAATCGGTCTCGTGGGGCGGCCTCCAAATTCGTCCCTCCCATGCCAAGGCAAGAGGAAGAGGGCAACTCGAAGGAAAATGCACCACAAGACATGCAACCTGTTGATGAGCGACTAAAGAACTTTGAGCCCAAAATCATTGAACTTATCATGAGTGAGATCATGGACCATGGCCCCCCGGTAGCTTGGGATGATATTGCCGGCCTGGAGTTTGCCAAAGCCACAATCAAAGAGATCGTAGTGTGGCCCATGTTAAGACCTGATATATTTACTGGCCTTAGAGGTCCACCTAAAGGCATTCTTCTCTTTGGTCCTCCAGGCACTGGTAAAACCCTTATAGGGAAGTGCATAGCTTGTCAGTCGGGAGCCACTTTTTTCAGCATCAGCGCTTCGTCACTCACTTCAAAGTGGGTTGGGGAAGGCGAGAAGATGGTACGAGCGCTCTTTGCCATCGCTCGGTGCCACCAACCTGCTGTCATCTTTATTGATGAGATCGATTCCCTTCTTTCTCAACGCACAGATGGAGAGCACGACTCTTCCCGTCGGATCAAAACCGAATTTCTTGTCCAGCTGGATGGAGCTTCCACCTCAGCAGAAGATCGCATCCTGGTTGTTGGTGCCACCAACCGGCCACAAGAGATTGATGAAGCAGCTCGCCGTCGCCTGGCTAAGCGACTCTACATACCTCTCCCAGAGGCTGAGGCTCGCCGGCAGATAGTGACTAACCTCATGTGCCATGAGAAAAGCCAGCTGGGAGCAGATGAGATGGAAAAAGTGGTGCAGGGCACAGAGGGCTTTTCAGGGGCAGATATGACACAGCTGTGTTGCGAAGCAGCCCTAGGCCCCATCCGAAGCATTAGTTTAAGTGACATTGCTACCATCTCAGCAGAACAGGTTCGGCCGATACTCTACAGTGACTTCCAGGAGGCTCTCAAAACAGTGCGCCCCAGTGTCTCTTTTAAAGATCTGGAGTTATATGAAGAGTGGAACAAGACATTTGGCTGTGGTCGCTGAGTGCATGTGTTCTGATTATATCAATTGAGTTTTATGTTAGCGTGACTATAATGTTGGGTTCATTTCTTGAAATAAATTGTCAATTTGAGTCTTTTTTCATCTTTTTCATGAACATTCTTCTCAGAGAGCTGTGAAACAAAGAAAAACAATCTCTGTTTTTTGTGATTGCAAAAAAAACCTGACATTTCTGCAGTTTCATATTAAGGTATTCATGCAGCCACAATTGATTGA